TAGCCATTATCCCGAGCACACCCAGGCCTGGGGTGGCCCAGGGAAAGCTTCCAGGAGTCCTCTGAGGAACAGGTCTCAGCTCCTACAAACGCTCGTCTCCAGCATCCTGAAGCATCCCCAGGGGACACACACATGCAGTCTCACACACCTGCCGCAGAATTCCCCAGGGTCCCCCTCTAGTCTCCAAGCAGGAGCTGGCACTAGGCGTGGGCTGGAAACATCACTAGGGCCCAAGCTGGAGAAGCTCTGAAAGAAGCCTTTCCAGAGCGCAGAGACAACCCCTGGCTGAAAAACAGGTCCACTGTCCAGTAGAAAGATGCCAGTCCATCATTCTATGTGTTGGAAGGACCCGGAGCATTGTTCCTGTCGCATACCCTGACACTCTGAGATTATCTGGGTACCAGGCCAGGGCAGGCAGCCGGAGTGCTATGCCCCAAACTTAGGACCCAAGCACACAGGCCACTTAAAAGGAAAATGAGCCACGAAGTCCAGTGTGTTGTATGAACTGGTGAGTGGCATGCAGAACACATGCAAATCATATTCAAATCAGCATTCCCGATTTGCATGGGCTAGCTAGGCAGGATGGAATATTCACACCAACTCCCAAGCTCTGCTCCCACTGGCCCTTTAGCTGGGCCCTGGGGAGGAGCTGAAGGCAGAGCTGGTCAGGGAGGCAGCCAGGCAGTAGGCAAAGCAGAGCACCCAGTCAGCCATGATTACCTCTTGTGCTTTGGGGCAGAGTGAAGTAGAAGTAGGAGAGGTTAAGTGGACAGGGGAGCCCCCGGCCTGAGAAGAGCCTGAGGATGGGCTCAGAGCCTTGGTCCCCAGCCCCATCTCCGAGGACTTGGAGGTAAGCAGCTGAGCCTACAGAGAGGGTACGTGGTGAGCGGCTTCTCCCTCACACTGTTCAGTCCAGCCACCCTCCCTAAAGCCTAAACCTCCTTCAACGAGACAGGGAGGGAGCGGAGAAGTCAGGAAGCCCAGCTGGACCTCACACACCAATTGTTCAGACCCGGGAAAGAGTGGCCCAAAGGATCCACTGCTCACTTGCAAGCTGAGGGCCTGACTGCGGACTGCAGCCCCGGAAGCCCCAGGATGAAGACCCTTAGAGCTCCGTGCTCGAGACCGGCTCACTCAACCCCGCCAGCTCCCCCAAACCTCTGAGCTCTCGGCCCACCCCAGTTGGGGCCTCTGAGCCCCTCATCTATATGCAGCCATCCCAAATGGTGAGTTCAGTGGGCACCTAAGAGTCCAAAGGGCAGCTGAAAAACAGCAGCTGGCAACCACGGACGGTCAGGCCTCAGGGTCCTCCTCCACCTCCTCCACCTCACTGGTGGGCAGCGGTGGCTCCCGCCTGTAATCCTAGCTACTCGGGAGGCTGAGATCTGAGGATCTCAGTTCAAAGACTCTTATCTCCAATTAACCACTAGAAAGCCGGAAGTGGCGCTGTGGCTCAAGTGGCAGAGAGCTTTGAGCTGAAGAGCTGAGGCACAGCACCCAGGTCCAGAGTTCAAGCCCCATGACCGGCAAAAACAAAAACTAAACTTCTCCACCTCAGCAGGTAGCCCCATATCCAACCCTCATGGACCCAAAGCCGGGGTTCACTCAACCATGTTACCTCTTTGAGGGTTGAGGTGGTCTTCGGGAAAGGCCTGCCTCCCGTGAGCGAGTAGTATTTCCTTTCCAGCACCGTTAATTTCTCCTTCTCCTGGGAGCCCAGAATGATGGAATTAGAATTAGGATTGAGAGTAAAGAAACTGTAAAGGGGCTCCAGGTCCCCTCCCTTCCCCCACCATTTTCCACTGGCCAAGGAGGGGGGGGGTACCTTCTGCAGTAGCTGCAGGGTAGCATTCTTGTCTCGAGCCAGGCGTTCGGATTCCTGCACCGCCTGAGTCCGGATCTGCCCAGCCTGACTGTCCAGGACAGCCAGGTGCTCCTAAGGAAAGACAGGAGGAGGGGGTTAGACGTTGCTTAGGGAGGCAGGGCTAAGCCTAAGGTGAAGTATGGCTGACTCTCCTGCCTAGAGAGCCTGGGATACATCAAGGGAACCAACCTCTTCCACTCGGCCTCAACTTTCCCCAGGAACACTTGGGCTCTTGGTCCTTCAACCCATGACCCCCTGCGCCACTAAGCATGCTAGCCACGACTCAAATTCCCCCTTCCCTTACCCCACTCTGGGCCAGTCAGTCCCAAAGCCGAACAACACCAAACAGTTCTGCTTGCCACCACCCAGATCCTGACCTTCTGCTCCTGGCTGGCTTCCCACAGCCTCCTGCCTTCTCTTTCACAGTTTTCTGATCCACAAAATATCTTCCTAAAATGGCCTTTGGGCTGGTTTTCTTATTGGAATTTTATGATCTTTCTGAAACACATTATTTGAGTCAACTCTATGTGTTTGGTTTGGAGGCAAGATGGCCATGAAGTCTTGGACGCAAGCAATCCTCCTGCCTCTGTCTCCTTAGATCCTGAGCGAGCACCAATGTACTAGCTCTTGAGTCAACTGTGCGTGTGCGTGTGTGTATGTATGTGTGTGTGTACATGCATGTCTGCCTATAGTGGGAGCCTGGGTGCTGTCCTTTAGATTTTTTTACTCAAGGTTAGTGCACTACCAACTGTGCCACAATTCTACTTCTAGTTTTTCACTGGTCAACTAAAGGTAAGAGTCTCATAGGCTTTCCTGCACAAGGTGGTTTCAAATCTCAATTCTCAGATTTCAGTTTCTTGAGCTCAGGGACAGTGCCTAGGCTGAGTTTGAACCTCAGGACTGGTGGGCGGGTGCTCGTACGTGAGCGCGTGCACACACACACTCATACACACACATACACCTAGAAGAACACTGGTAAAGGTGTTGCATTTTGCACTTGCCACTTCACTTAACCTTGAGGCAGGTGCCCATTTTACAGAGAGGACAGTGACATGGTTAGGAGCTAAGGTCTTTGCTAGTAACTGGTAGAGTTAGGGCTGCAACCAGATCTGCCCTTCTAAGAGCAGTCCTTTCCATCCCTCTGGGTCAGAGTGGACAGAGGAGCACAGAGCCTCAGGGCAGACAGAGCCTGGGGTAGGAGGGCACCAGAGACGGGGGATGTGCTGGGCAAGCTTCCACGAGTGAATGTAGGGATCGATATACATACAGAGTAGGGCCAGTTCTTGGGGGCTAAGCTTGCCCTCCAAGGCTTAGGGCAGGGGTGAGGAAGGAAGTACAGTCCATCACTACTGCTGACCCTTTCAAGCTCCCTGGAGCTTCTGTCCAAATGGACCTCAAAAAGATGGGGTCAACTGGCCTAAGGCTCCAGAAGAAGTGACTGGAGAAGTGCTGACCCCAGGCCCTTGGAACGAACCTGGGGTTTGGACTGGCACACCTGTGTCCCACCAGCTCACATGATGGGAGGGGAGTAGGTACCTTTCCAGAGCCCTGGTTTCCATGTCCTTCAAATGGGCATAAGAGCCGGGTACTGGTGACTCACGCCTGTATCCTAGCTACTCAAGAGGCTGAGATCTGAGGATTGCGGTTCAAAGCCAGCCCAGGCAGGAAAGTCCATGAGACTCTTATCTCCAATAAACCACCAGAAAACCAGAAGGGATGCTGTGGCTCAAGTGGAGAGCTCTTGCCTTGAGCTGAAGAGCTGAGGGACAGCGCCCAGGCCCAGAGTTCAAGTCCCATGACCGACCAAAAAACAACAACAACAAAAAAAAAGGCAGGCATAAGAGAACAAGCTAAGGACAGCATGAGACCGCCCCAGGCAGCCTCCTAGCAGGGCGCCTGGCACCCAACCGTGTGCCTGGCAAATGCTGGTTTCCATCCCTCCGTGGCACATTGGGGCAGTGTTTGAATTTATCTATGCATTTACAAAGGCAGATCCACTCAAGGGGGAATTCAGGATCTGGACTCAGGATATAATACAGTAGCCCCTGACCTCCCACCAAACCCTGGCCACCGGCAAGTTTCCCCATTTCACGTGGAGGCACTGAGGTTTAAATTCAGGGCCCTGCACTTGCCGGGCAGGTAGTCTACCATTTGAGCCTTACCCCCAGCCTGTTTTGCTTTTAGGTACTTTTAAACAGGGCCTCACCCATTTGCCTGGGCTGGCCTAGGATAGGCTCGTGTTTATGCTTCCCGGGTGCTGGGATGCCAGTGTGTGTGTCACCATGACGGAGACGGAAGTCTCAAATGTTTTTTTGCCCCAGCTGGTCTCAAGCTTCGGTCCTCCCTATCTTAGCCTCCCCAGAGGCTAGGATTACAGGTGTGTGCCACAGAACAGGCCCTGTCACACGTCTCACTGTCCTGATGCGTGATGCACGCACGCACGCACACGCATTCGCAGGTGCACACGCACACAGCCACACGCACTGAGGCACCCGAACCGTCTTCCCTGTCCCCTTCTCTGCCTCCCCCGTGGGCCACTCCTGGCCTTGGGTCCATCCAACCCAAGTCAGATCTGCGCACAGCAGACTACCACCGCATTAGCTGGGCCAGGCGGACCCCCGGGTGGGGTTCCGGGAGCGCCGGCTCCCTCAAACATCCAGATCTCGGATCTTCTGGACGGTTCTACAAAGCTCAGAGGGCCGGGCGAGGCGGGGCCCGGCGGCGCCCGCACCTTGCGCTGGGCGATGCTGCGCAGCAGCTCGGCCTCGCTCCGCAGCAGCCCCTGGCCGGCCAGCTCGCGCTCCTCCTCGGCGCGGCTCTGCCGCTCCAGCTGCTGGAACTCCAGGTCCTCGAAGAGCTTGGTCTCCGTCTCCAGGGCCTCCGCCTCCTTCAACGACAGCGACACCGGGGAGCGAGGGTTGGGGGGCGCTGGGCTGCGGTGGGGGCCCCGACCCCGGGG